ATTTCTTCCACTTCGCCGGCCCTTTCAAAGGTCAAGTCCGTGCGCTCGGGAAATACCAGCCTGGCCCTTACGTCAATCACATCAGGCGCATCGATTGACTGATTTCCGCTGGTTGGGCTGGTCTCTGCCGAAGGGGTTTCCGTTGTCGCCTCACCGACCTGACCGGAAGGGCTGGTTGCGCTGCAAGCCACACCGCCTGAGACCACCAGCAAAATGCTGAGAACCAAGGCTCCTTTCATGAACCAGGAGCCTTGGGAATATCGTTGTTTCTTGGTTTCGTCCACGGTCATTTACCTCAGGATAATACTGACATTCTCAAGTATTCTTAACCCCCATATTGGCGCCTGGCAACTCACGGTGTCTCCCCCAATCGCCTTCGCGTCCCTCTATTTCTCCAGAACAGAGAAGCCACTCTGCCAGGAAATTCGGGGATAGTACTGTGCATGAGCGTATATATGATAGGCACCACAAAGAGAGTAAGGAGAGTAGAACTGATAAGACCACCAATGACTACCGTAGCCAGTTCCGCCCCAATTATCCCCACACTGTCCTCTCCAGTGACCGCCAGCGGAAATAGCGCGAAAGTAGTGGTGAAGGCTGTCATCAATATGGGACGAATGCGGACTCTTCCTCCCAGGACCAGGGCGTCATAGACACTCAGCCCTCTCTCACGAAGTTGCTCGACAAAGGTGATAAGCACGATAGCATTGGTAACCACAATGCCGATGAGCAAGAGGAACCCCATCATTGCCGACAAGCTAAGCGTCCGGTCGGTTATTGCCAGGGCGATCAAGGCTCCAACGACAGCAAAGGGAAGACTTAATACTATTATGAACGGGTCCCGTAGAGACCCCAGGCTGGCCACCATGACCAGGTAAACCAGGATTACACCGGCTGCCATTGCCAGGAATACATCCTGAAATCCCTCATTCACCTGCTGGAAAATACCCCCGCTCCGCACAGTGACTCCCGGGGGCAACTCAAGGCCATCTATGGCCGCTTGCACCTTCGCTCCAACGGCTTGGGTGTCAATTGCAGTTATGCTTCCCGTTATGAGGGCCGAACGCTCCCGGTCGAAGCGCGTCACCGCTACTGGCCCCTGTTCAATTCCAATCTCACTTATCGTACCGAGTTTGACGAGTCCCAGAGGCCCCTGAATGTTCAGGTCCTTCAATTTTTCGATATCGTCCACGTCCTCCGGACGCCCTCGTATAACTACGTCCAGATTCACCTCATCCAGTTCCATATCGGTGACGGCTCTACCCACGATGAACTGGTTTACCTGTTGGGCAACGGAGAGCGTGTTCAGCCCGTACTGCGCGGCCCTTTCGGTGTCAATTCGGATGGAAACTTCGTCCCTGGCTGCAGTCACGTTGCTGTTCAGATTGACGATATCTCCAATCGCAATCAGCTCTGATTCCAGCACCCGGGCCACAGCAGAAATGTCGGCATAGCTAGGACCCACTACCCTGATCTCCAAGGCATCGGCTGGGGGCCCGTCTGATACCTCGGTAAGCAGGTAAGTTACACCATCATCCGGTTCGGGGAGTCGTTGCCGTACCCTGTCGGCAATGTCTCTGGGAGCGTCTTCCGCAACCCTCATGATGAATCCGGCAATGTGCAAGTTTTCGGCCGCAATACCCTGGTTGAACTCCGAGGCAGATTGCCCAATGGAAACCTGGTAAAGGGTCAGGAGGCCCTCTTCCACGAACGTATCAATAATCTGCTCACTCTCGTGGACATACTCGAAGGTGCGACCCACCGAGGTGCCCGGTTCCAGTTGAATGTCCATTGTCAAATAATCGGGAGTGCCCGCCGGAAAAAAAGTAACGGGGATTCTCGTTATCAGAGCAAGGCTGCCTGCCGTGATGGCTATCGCAATTATCAGGCTAATCAGTTTATAACGTAGCGACAGAGCAATAATGGGAGCGTAAAGGCGCTGGAGCCAGGTTTCCTGGCCTATTTCGGCGCTCGAATCCACGTCCGGCAGGTCTCCCCTCCGGAGCAGCGCGGCAGACAGCACAGGAACAGCAGTGAGCGCCACAAAGGTGGAGGCCACCAAGGCAAAACTGACCGAGAGGGCAAAGGGCGTAAAAAACTCACCTACCAACCCCTGAATAAAGGCGAGGGGTATGAATACCACCACAGTGGTCAGAGTAGAAGAAACGATGGCGGCGCCCACCTCCCGGGTGCCGTCGATGGCAGCCGGCATATTCTCTTCGCCCCGTTGAATGTGCCGGAAGATGTTCTCCAGCACTACTATGCTGTCGTCAACCACCCTCCCCACCGCTATCGCCAAGCCGGCCAGGCTCATGAAATTGAGTGAGATATCAAACACCCTCATCAAGATGACGCCGCCCATGACGCTCAACGGTATGGAAATAGCGATAATAACCGTTGGTCTAAGGGTCAGGGCCAAACCCTTAATCAGGGAAGGACGAGTGTTGATCAGGAATACAAAGACGGCGCTTACGGCGAAGGCAAAGCCCAGCGTCCCTTCTCTCACCAGGTTGGAGAGAGATTCTTCAACTATGGGCCCGTTATTGGTTACTTCTAGGAGTTCGATATCGTCAGGAAGTTCCAGGCCGTTTAGCTCTTCCAAAACCGAGTTAGTGACGTCCAGGGTGTTGGCATCGGGTTCCTTGATAATCAGGATGTTCAGGCTGGGCTTTCCCTGGGTTCGGGAAATTCCCCTAGCGTCGGAAGTTCCCAACTCCACTGTTGCTACATCGGAGAGCAGCACTTTTCGCTGGCCTTGCAAGCCTCCACCACCCTGACCCGGAGGCGCATCGGCGGAGAGGTTGACCTGCTCATATCCCAAGACCAGTTCCCTGATCTCTTGAAGGGAGCCCAGTTCCTTGGTAACCCTTACGGCATAGGTGACTTCATCATCAGTTATGTTACCTGCGGGCAGCCCGATATTATTGCTGCCGATGGCTTCCGACACCTGAAACATACTGAGTCCCAGGTCTTCCAGCTTGTCGGTATCAACAGTAACAGTTACCCGCTCGTCCACTCGCCCCAGAACGTAGATATCAAATACCCCGCTGACTGCCTCCAGGCGAGGTACAATCGAGTTATCCAGAATGCGCTGCAAGGATGCGATATCGCGGTCTCCACCGGCGCTAATCTGCATTACTGGAAATGTATTGTTGTTAATTCTGGTGACGGCTGTAAATTCAACGCCGCTGGGGAGGTCGAGGCCATTAACGTTGCTCTCCAGAGTACGCTTGGCCTCTTCCATGTCTTCGCCGAAGTCAAACGTAGCAAGTACGGTGGACACGTTCTGTTGGGAGTTGGATTCTATTTCTGTCAGCCCCTCAACATTGGCGATAGCATCCTCAATGGGCTCCGTAACTTCCCTGTTAATGGTCTCGGGGTCGGCTGCGGGATAGAAGGTCGTAATGGTGATGTTGGGGAACTCAATGTCGGGGAAAAGCTCCCGCTCCAGATCGTTATAGGCAAAAACGCCGGACACCAATAGCAAAATGACAACCAGAATGGTTACCGAACTTCGCCGTAGTGCCAGCCGGGTCAGGAATGTCAAACCTGGTCCTCCAAGTAGTTGCTGGGTTGAAGCCGCGACATTTGGGCGCCACCCTTTCCGTAAGTGGTAAGAGCCTCACTCAAACCGGCAGACAGTCCAAACCCGTTTCGCGAAAGAAAGTCCTGGCCCCAAACCAGTTCGAGAATACGGCCTGCTTCGACGATTAAGAAATGGTCGGATGCAGTTGGGAAGAAGGTAAGGGCCCAAGGTGAAGAGGTGATCGAACCTGGCAGGTGGAGCAGCTTCATAGAACATTTGTCTGTTTAGGCTACGGGGAACACCAGTCGCGCAGCCTGACTCATCAGCGCTGCGCCCCGCACAACTTCACTTAGTTCCCGGGTTTCTAATTGATCTGCCAACTGAATAATCTTCGCCCGTCCTATGCTCCAGAACTGCTCCATAGTTTCTCTGCCCGATTCCGTCAACTGGCAAACTACGGCACGCCGGTCTTCCGGGTCCACCGACCTAACTACCAGTCCCTTATCCACCAAACGGTCGATAATGCTGGTGGCCGACGACATTATGCAGCCCATGTGGGTGGCAATATTACCCATTCGCTGCTGTCCTTGGAAAAGCAGCGCCAACACTTTGACCTGCTGAAAGGTCAAGTCAAGGCCGTCCCACCCGTCTGAAGGCGTGCAGTGCATGGCTTGATTAATCTGCTCAACCAGTTCAATCAGGCGTTCGATTAGCTGAACTCTATTTTCTGATGGAAAATACTCGGACATATCACAAATTTATTTAGTCTTCTCTGAACTATTTTGATTAATGCAAATAACCTTGTCAACCACTCGCCATCCTAGGGTTTGTGAGTTCTCCGACGCGATTGAAGGGCCCGCTTCTGTTAAACTGAACGAGATTTCTTTAGGGTCAATGTCCTTTAAGGAATATGCAAGGCAACACGTCCGGTCAGGCGAAAAACGGACAATGGACGAATGGCATCCGAGAGAGAACCTGGAGCATGGCAATGAAGTTTGGTCTGTTTTCGCACCTTCCGTGGCCGGAAGGCACCAGCCCTAGTCAGGTCATACAGGAAGCCACCGAGCAGGTCTGCCTTGCAGAAGAGCTGGGCTACTACAGCGCCTGGTTTGCGGAGCACCATTTTTCCAGGTACGGCTTAGGTTCCTCCTCCCTGGTACTGGTAAGCAACATTGCTGCCCAAACCAAAACCATCAGGTTGGGCACCGCCGTTCTGGTTCCACCCTTGCATCATCCAGTGCACCTGGCCGAGGACACGGCTACCCTGGACGTAGTGAGCGGCGGCCGGCTTGACGTGGGATTTGGCCGGGGCACTGCCGGTTACGAGTACTCCGGGTACAACGTGGATCAGAGCGAGAGCCAGGAGCGGTTCCAGGAAACCATTGGCATTGTTCAGGGCCTTTGGACCACTCCCGATTACACCTACGAAGGCAAGTTCTTCAGCGTCAACCAGGCTAACCTGGTTCCGCCGCCAATGCAGAACCCTCATCCTCCCATCTACATAGCGGCCACCCGGACCCTGACTACTCTTGAATACGTGGTGTCCACCGGCCATCCCTTGATCAGCGGCGTGGTGCTGGACCATACCGACGCAATGGACCTTTGCCACCGGTTCGTAAAGATGTCGAGGGATGCCGGCCACAACATCCCGATGTCGCGAATCCCTCTTTTCCGTTACCTGCACGTCGCCAAGACTGAAGAGGAGGCAAGAGCTAACGCGGAGCCGGCCCTTGCCTGGACTATGGATATGACTGACTGGCGGCGCGCTATAACAACCGGCAGCGAAGTGAACCAGCGACTGGATGACTTCAGGCGAACGCGTACCCAAGTGCCCCCATCCTATGATTACTTGGCGGAAAATCGGGCAATCATCGGTACGCCGGAGCAATGCGTGGCGAAAATACGCGAATTCCAGGACGAGGGAATAGAGTACTTCGGCTGCAATTTCGACTTCGGCGGCATGGCTCAAGAAAAGGTATTGAGATCCATGAATTTATTCGCCGAAGAAGTTATGCCTCACTTCTCTTGAACCAACCGGAGTTGGATTGATGACCCTAAGATCCCACGCCGCGGCGGAATGCCATCCGGTAGTCCTGAAAATAGCAGAACTGGCGCGGGAGCGATTCGCCTCCCGTGCCGGTAAATACGACGCCGAGTCATCCTTTCCTTTTGAAAACTATCAAGACCTGCATCAAGCAGGACTCTTGGGATTGACCGTCCCGGAGGAATACGGCGGGGCGGGAATCGATCCCGTCACTTACGTTCTGGCGCTTCAGGCCATGGCCAAGGGATGCCCGGCAACCGCCCTCACTTTCAATATGCACGCCAACGTAATCCTCAACATTGCCCAGTTGGCTTCCCATGAGCAAAAGTGCCGCTACTTCAAGGAGGTACTGGAAGAAGGCAATCTCTTTGCCACGGTTATGAGTGAGCCGGACTCAAGCTTTAGAGACCGATTTGTTCTCAGAACCGTTTTCAGCCCCACACCGGAAGGAAATTACCGTGTACAAGGAGTAAAGCACTTTTGCTCGCTGGGGGATGCCGCGAACCGTTACTTCGTAACCGGCCTGAGAGAAGGAACCGATACAGCACAAGAGGGAATAATGGCGGCCATGGTGTCCCGGAGCGAAAACGGAATCACTCTGGAAAGAACCTGGAACGCCACTGGGATGCGAGGCACCACCAGCCACAGCATCCGTTACGACACCGAAATTTTGGCCCAAGATGTCATGGGAAACCCAGGGCAGTTGCTAACGATAGAACTTTCGGGTTTCGCGCTGGGGTACGCCGCCACTTATCTCGGTGTGGCCGAAGCTGCCTACGAGTTCATCCTGAAGTATTCCCAGACTAGGGTCATAGCGCCTTCGACTGAGCCGCTTGCTTACAATCCGCTGGTGCAACGCAACCTGGGAGAGATGAGCGCACAGATTCGGGCAGCCAAATTGATGCTTTGCGAAGCCGCCGCGGTTCGAAGGTCTGGCGTTAGAGAAGAAATGTCCCTGGCCACCAATCAGGCCAAGTATCTCTGCGCTGAGGCGGGGGTCAGAGTCACGGAACAGGCAATGCGCATGGCCGGCGGGAGCGGGTTTCTCAAGGATATGCCCTTGGAGCGATGGCACCGGGATGCCTTGGCCGGTCCGGTAATGCCACCTTCCAACGACCGGTGCCTGGAGGTTATAGGTCGGATCGTCTGTGGACTACGGGCCACTACTCTGGAGTTTCAATAGGCGCCCTACCGGGAAAGAAGTGATGAATCTCATGTGAGAAGCAGGATTTAGAACTGCCTCCATGAGGGAAAGAAAACGGCCTCCACCGACGTTGGTGGGGGCCGTTATTGCCTAACCTCTTAAGGGTTCAGGCCTAGCTGAAAACCAGTTCCGTATTGCGGCGGTTCATGTCGCCCATCAGGGCCAAACCCTCAGACGGATCGTCCTGATTGTTGCAGAAGAACTCAATCCGGTTGCCATCAGGGTCCATAAAGTAGACACTGGAAGTCATACCGTGATCGGTGTTGTGATCCAAGGTTACTCCCTTGTCCTGAAGAGTATCGTAGACCTCTTTCAGGTCAGCAATGTCCGCGACCTGCACGGCGAAGTGGTTCAGACCAAGCTGGCCGGCCGTCACAGGCAAGGCATCTACCGGCGCCTTGAACAGTGCCAGGTCGTGGTGAATCTTGCCGCAGGTGAGGAAGGTTCCCATCTCGGTCTGCCGGGAAATATCGAATCCCAGGATTTCGGTATAAAACTTGGTGGACGCTTCCACGTCCTTGACGTTGAGAACCAAGTGTCCAACACGAATGGGTTTGCCATAACTTTTCCTCCTTTTCGTTGGGGAGAAAATGTGCCTTTCAGACCCATTACTCCCAATACCAGGCACTTTCGCCTTGTTAAGAAATACTATACCCCCAATTTTTCGTCCCGCCAATACCTAAACGGCTAACGACCGTAATAAATGGCGGAATGCACTTAATTCATGCTTGGGCATAGCTGTTTTCGTAACCATGCGAACCTCCTGCTTGTCAGGAGGCTCGTTGACACTTCAATTGCTCCAGATTTACACTCTGACAGACACTCATTGTAATTGACCACCAGCTACCAAGTTTCCAGGACAGGTACAAGCATCATGCCTATCGACCAGGTTTCCATAGTGCGAATGTGTGGCGCCTGCCGCCACGAAATCGAGACTATCACGGTGAAGAAGGACAATATGCGCCTTTTCGTGGATGACGTTGTCTGGTGCGAGGGCTGTCAGTCCGAACAACCAGAGGTCCGCGACGTAGCCGAAAGGCAGGAAACTATCCGGACAGAGCAACAGAATTATCCTGTGAGTCCCACCTCAGGGCCGCCCATCTTAGCTGCAAAACCGTCAGAATAGTTTTTCCGCACCTGGCTCAGGGGTAAGTACATGGACTCCCTGAGTATTCAAAACATACCTGGAGCTGTCTAGATGCCAATCGTCGACACCCACTGCCACGCCACGCCCTATTGGTTCGAGCCGGTGGAAATCCTCCTGGACCAGATGACCCGTAACGACGTCGACCATGCGGTGTTGATTCAGATAAACGGCGTGTTCGATAACTCTTACCTGGTGGAATGCATGCGCCGGTTTCCAGGCCGCTTTTCCGGAGCAGGTATGGTTGACGTTAGCAGCCCGGGCGCGCTTGACCAGTTGGCAACGTTTCCGGAAATGGGCATAGAGGGCGTACGCCTGAACGCCGCCAGCCGGTCACCTGGTGACGACCCACTGGCCATTTGGCGAAAGGCTGGAGAGCTGGGCCTTATAGTGAGTAGCGGCGGCCAGCTTGAAGCCTTCTCCTCACCCGAATTTGAAGAAGTCATCAGGACGCTGCCCAATCTCAAAGTTATCATCGAGCACCTTGGCGCCGGAGGTCGGGACACCGAGCCTTTCGACGCCTACCGCCGGGTGCTGGCATTGGCCCAGTACCCCAACACCTACATGAAGATTCCTGGCTTGGGAGAGATCTGCGCCCGACCAACTCCCTTCGTACAACCCTTCCCCTTCGCCGGCAATGTGCCGCAGTTGGTTGAAATGGCGGTGGAAGCTTTCGGAGCCAGCCGGCTAATGTGGGGGAGCGATTTCCCGCCGGTGGCCTTCCGCGAGGGTTATCGGAACGCCCTTCGCTGGCCCATGGAGCATGTTGCCTACGCCAGCGAAGAAGATAAAGAGTGGATATTCGGAGGCACGGCAGCTTCCCTGTTCCGCTTTGGGGCGTAATTTCCCGCCCACTAGAACACTTTTTACCCACTCGACTGCGGCAAGTGCTGGGCTCAGTTGAAGCGGTTCATCGCCACCGTAATGTTCTCTTCCAGGAGGCAGTCCACTGCCTCGGCCACCCGTTTGACCACCCCGGAGATTTCCGGCGCCTCTTCCTCACTGAACCGGTTCAACACGTGGGAAACCTGACCGCCCTGCAAACCCGGGTGTCCGATTCCTACCCGAATGCGTGGGAACTCTTGGGTTCGTAACTCGGAAATGATAGAACGTATGCCGTTATGTCCCGCCGGACTTCCCCCAGGTCTTATCCTCATTCTCCCCAGCGGTAAATCCATTTCGTCGTAAATCACCACAATGTCAGAAGGCTTTACTCCGAAACGGGTCATCAAGTAGGCCACGCCTTCACCGCTGTTATTCATAAAAGTGCGGGGCTTGGCCAGAACGACATCCCGGTCCAGGTGGCGGCCCCGTCCTAAAACGGCCTTGGCCCGCCGCTCCTTTAAATTGATACCCCAGTGTCGAGCCAGCAGGTCAATACAGCGGAATCCCACGTTGTGCCGGGTATGCTGGTATCGTTCACCCGGATTGCCCAGTCCTACGATGATCTTCATCGACAGATCTGGTTCCTCCGTGTGTCGAGGTTTCCTGGTTCTTTCTTCGTTCTCGTTGTTTGTTTCCAAGTTAATGCTCGGGCTTCCAAGGGTTATAGAAGAGCCTCTGAAGGCGACTCCAGAAGCTGTAAAAAGTCGGATTCGTCCAGTATTCGGGTTTCTAATCGGTTTGCCGTGTCCAGCTTGGATCCGGCCGATTCGCCGGCTACCAAAAAGTTGGTCTTTCGCGTCACCGAGGACGTAACGGCGCCCCCCAACGCCTTAATTCTGGTTTCAGCCTCCCGGCGGGTCATAGAAGACAGTGTGCCGGTTACAACGAAAGTCAGGCCATTCCAGTGCAATTCACTGGATCCACAATTTCTATCTCGTGATGCAGTTTTACCCCAGCCTGCTTGAGCTTTTCGATTACTGCGAGGTTCCCCTCCACCTGGAAGTAGTCATAGATGCTTTCGGCAATTTTGGGCCCAATTCCGGGGATCTGGGTCAGTGCATCCTGGCTCGCCTTTGCCAGCAGGTCCACACTGGCATATCGCTGGGTTAGCAGTTCAGCCACTTCGGCCCCCACGTGGGTTACGCCAAGCGCGAAGAGAATCCGGGGTAGCGGACGGTTTTTGCTGGCCTCAATGTTGTCCATAATTTTGGTAGCCAATCGGTCGCCCATCCTGTCCAGTTCCAACAGTTTGTCCTTCTCAAGGAAGTACAGGTCCGATACGGTGCTGGCAAACCCCTGGTCAATGAGAATCCGGCACCACTGCTCGCCCAGGCCGTCCATGTCCATAGCGCCCCTGCTGACGAAGTGCTTGAGCAACTCAAAGAACTGGGCGGGACAGGAAGCGTTGGGGCAACGATGCATTGCCTCCCCTTCCGGCTTCACTACCGACGTGCCACACTCAGGACAGGCCTCCGGCATTTGGAACTTCACCGCATCCCTGTCCCTTCGATCGAGTATCGGCCCCACGACCTGGGGGATGACGTCCCCGGCTCTCTCAATGGTTACCCAGTCGCCGACACGTATGTCCTTGCGGCGAATGTCTTCCTCGTTATGTAACGACGCATGCCTAACAGTAGCGCCACTGACTACCACCGGATCAAGGACGGCATAAGGATTGAGACTGCCCGTGCGGCCCACGTTGATTCCAATCTCCAGCAACCTGGTTACCGCCCGCTCCGCGGGAAACTTATAAGCGACGGCCCAGCGGGGTTCCCGACCCACCACACCCAGGGAGCTCTGGTAGTTGAACGGATTAACCTTGACCACGACTCCGTCAACCTCGTAGGGCAGGCCGTGCCTCCGTTCCACAAACTCGCGGTAGTAGTCCTTAACTTCTTCCACGGTGTAGCACAGCCGGTTATTTGGATTAATCCTGAAGCCCAGGGATTTTAACCACTCAAGAGCTTCCCAGTGATCAGGCAGGCCTGGCACATCGCCTGCATCGCCCAGGGAATAGGCCCAGATCTGCATATTCCTGGATGCCGTGACCTTGGGGTCCAGTTGCCGGATAGTTCCAGCGCCGGAGTTGCGGGGGTTGGCAAATAGCTGCTCACCCCGCTCGGCCCTTTCCTCGTTTAGACGGCGGAAGCTCTCCACGGGCATATAGACCTCGCCCCTGACCTCCAGGTAAGGCGGCGGGTCGCCCTGAAGGACCAGCGGAATGGAACGAATAGTGCGCAGGTTTTGGGTTACATTTTCCCCCACAAATCCGTTGCCCCTGGTTGCTCCCTGAACAAATACCCCGTCTTCGTAGACGAGACTTACCGCCAGTCCATCGATCTTCAGCTCGCAGGTCATGGAAAAATCAGCGTCATCAAGCAGGTTTCTTACCCGCCGGTACCAGGCTTCCAGGGATTCATCGTCGAAGGCATTACCCAGGCTCAGCATGGTGTGCCTGTGTTCCACCTGAACAAAGCCTTCGGCCGGATCTCCCCCTATTCTATGAGTCGGCGAGTCCGGCGTTACCAGTTCAGGGTGTTCTTCCTCAATGGTGCGCAGTTCCTGAAGGAGCATGTCATAGTCGAAATCACTGATGACGGGATCGTCCATCACGTAGTAGCGGTGGTTGTGATAATGCAATTCCCGTCGCAGTTCGGCAACCCGCTGGACTATGCTGTCGTCTGCCATTGCTGGAACTCCCCCTGATTTCTTTGCGAGAAAAGCATAATGTCTCTCCTTTCAGGATAACACCCTGCCCAGTGTCGCGTTAGGGTCAAATCAGGCCTGCCGCACCCGGAGTAGAAGGAACTTTATCCCCGCAAGAGGCGTCTTATATAGCATCTCTGTTTTGAGAATTCTGGAGAGTGCATAAGATGATCAACACCGGCGGCATACAATTCAGTTTTCTTGTGAAACAACATCGATTGGTATATTCTGCCCCTATGAGAAGGTTTCTCCTGGCATTGAGTTGTCTCTTGATTGCCCTGGCATTGACCGGCTGTGGTGCAGCTGCCGAGTCCCAATTCAGCACGGCCGCGGACTCTGTCGCTTCCTTTACGGAGTCGGGCAGGGCGATGCCTGCAATGCCTGCCGCCGCCGCCCCGCAAATGGCTCGGGAAGTCGTGGTGGAGAAGGAAATGCTAAGGGAAATGGAGGTACCGGCGGAAGCTTTCATGGCGGAAGAAAGCGCCGAGATGGACTCAGCAGCCACCGAATCCATGTCAGAGTCACTGCCTACCCTTGAAGAAGTCCAGGCATCAGTCGCTGCACAGGAACGAATTATCGTTCGCACGGTGGGTATGGGCCTCGTCGTGGACAATGTGGCCGACACCGTCGACCGTGTCGGAACGGTTTCCCAGAATCTGGGGGGCTGGACTGTATCAAGCGACCGTAGCGCCATTCACCATGGAAGTGTTTCTGTAAGGGTACCTGCCCAGCAACTGGATGAGGCTATTCGCCAAATCCGTGCCCTGGCGATTCGAGTCGACTCCGAATCGTCGACCAGCCAGGATGTCACCGATGAGTACGTGGACAGCAGTTCGCGCCTGCGCAGCCTGCGGGCCACCGAACAGTCCCTGCTGAATTTGCTTACCCAGGCCGACGACGTTGAGGATGCTCTCGAAGTGCAACGAGAACTGGCCCAGCTACAGGCGCAAATGGAAAGCCTGGAAGGGCGCATTAAGTTCCTCCAACAGACCGCCGCATTTTCCCTCATAAACGTCAGATTGAGCCTTGCTCCCAAGTCCATGCCAGTGGAAGCCGGCCCCGACCAGACCTTCAGCGCGGGCCAGCCAGCCAGGTTCCGGGCTACTTTCAATCCGCCCACTGAGATTGAGGACTTCAACTTCATCTGGGACTTCGGGGATGGTTCCAAGGTGGAGGGAACGGGCAGCGCTCCTACCACCCAACCGGGCCAACGGGTTACCGCAACGGTCAACCATGTCTTTGAGGACGACAGGGATTCTCCTTACATCGTTCAGTTGGAAATTACCGGCACCGGCCAGGCCGGTATAGTGGAGGGTTCCGACACCCTCATTGCAACAGTTACCAGGATCCCGACTATCGAGGTTTTTGCCGGCGAAAGACGAGTCGTGGAGGAAGGTGAGGAGGTCGAATACAGCGGGTCCTTCACCAGGCCGGAAGGATTGTGGGACATCCAATACCAGTGGGCTTTTGGTGACGGTTCCCCTTCAGTTATCGACGCCCCCGAAGATGGCGCCACCCGGGCGGTGGCAATCCACACTTACGAAAATTACCGACCTCAGGCCTATGAAGTTACCCTGACGGTAACGGCCCAAAGTGAGGCCGGAGAGGTAAAGGGTTCAGGGTCGTTCCGCGTTGACGTGAGAGAATCACAAGGGCTGATAGCGGGCAGTTGGAACCTTGCCGCCTCGGCCAAATGGGCCGTTCGTGCACTGTCAGCCGTAGCCCTGGCGATAGTCAATATCCTGATTTGGGTCGCCATTTTCAGCCCGGTGTGGCTTGCCCTCGCCGCCATAGGTTACGGTCTCCTTCGTTTGAATCGTATCCGGCGAGCCCGAAGGAACAACAGCCGTGCACTCCAGAACCTGGAAGATATGTCCCCGGGTGCCAGCGCAGTTTCCACCGCCCCGGAGCAGAGCTAATGTCGATCCGACGGCAGCATTAGGTTAACGAAAAGTAAGTTCCATTTCGATACAACCCCAAGGAGAAACCAGTGACTACTCAGACCCCCGAAGAAGCCCGTACCCAAATTGTCAACATGGTCAAGGATTTCGTACGCCGCGAAGTAGAACCGGTGGCGGCGGAACTGGACCGGGAGGACATCGTCCCCTTTGACCTGATCGACAAGATGAAGGACCTGGGCTTGTTCGGCATCACTGTTCCCGAAGACTACGGCGGCATGGGCCTGGACTACACTACCTTTGCCCTCATTTTCGAGGAAATGAGCAAGGGATTCATGAGCATTTCGGGCGCAATTGGCACCCATCACATAATGACCTACGTCCTTACCCACTACGGAACGGAAAACCAAAAACGGCACTTCCTGCCCGACCTGGCCGCGGGCCGCAAACGAGGCGGATTGGCCCTGACCGAGCCCGGCGGCGGCACAGACGTAGCCAACCTGCAGGTAACAGCCGACAAGGATGGCGAGGAGTACGTAATCAATGGCAGCAAGATGTTCATTACCAACGGCCGCTACGGTGATACGTTCCTGCTATTGGCCCGTACCGACCGGACCGTGGAACCCCGTCACCGGGGCATCAGCGCCTTCATCATCGAAAAGGGAGGGGACGGTTTCCGAGTCGGACGTGACCTCGACAAGCTGGGATACCGGGGCTTGGACACCTGCGAATTGATTTTTGAAGACTTTCGCATACCTGCGGACAATCTGGTGGGAATGGAAGAGAACGTGGGCTTCGGGCAGGTGATGAGCGGCCTTGAAACAGGCAGGATAAACGTGGCTGCCAGGGCTGTGGGCGTGGCTCAGGCGGCCTTTGAGGCTTCCATCCGCTATTCCCAGCAGCGTGAAACCTTTGGCGTGCCCATATCCCAGCACCAGGCAATCCAGCTTAAGCTAGCCGACATGGCGACCAAGATACAGGCCGCGCGCCTGCTAACATATGACGCCGCCGCCAAGAAGGACACGGGACAACGGGTGGACCTGGAAACGGGCATGGCCAAGCTCTTCGCCAGCGAAATCTGTGGAGAGATAACCATGGAAGCCATGCGCATTCACGGCGGGTACGGCTACATTAAAGAGTCCCCGGTTGAACGCTACTACCGGGATGCGCCCCTTATGATAATCGGCGAGGGAACCAACGAAGTATTGCGTTTGGTGATTGCGCGACAATTGCTCCGCCGCCCCGAGTATCAGGTTTAGGGAAGTTAATCTACCTCCACAGTTCAACACTCGTCAAAAGAAAAAACCGCTCATTCCTCTGTTAGTTGAGGATGAGCGGTTTTTTGCAGTTCGACTCACCGCAAGTTTTAACGGCTAAATGGCTTGTCCGGCGTGATATTGCCGAGTTCACTAAAGCGGGCGCCGACCACCTTTCCTTCTAACCCATGCGGGCAGGATTGAAAACCAGCCAGTTGGCAACCGGCCCGGCGCTGCGACTCCACTCGTGGGCGCAAAAGGGCGGTATCAGAATAGCGTCGCCTTCGGACACAGTGTATTCCTTGCCATCGCAGGTAAGGATGCAGCTACCTTCCAGGAAGTAAGCCAGATGCTCCCATTCGTGGGTGTGGTCCGGGCTTACTTCCCCCGCCGCCATACCTCTATGGGACAGGATGTATCGCTTTGCTCCATCCTCAGCGGTCAAAATCGGGCGTGCCGCGCCAGGGCTGGTGTCCAGGTCGGCCAGGTTCTTGATCACCGGCGGATTTCCGGTGCCCTGCCCGCCGTTATTCCGAGCGCCGCCACTCTGGGATGCCAGCAATGGATTTTATTTCGATTCGCTGGATATCGCCCTCGCCCCCGTCATTGAGAGTGTAATGGTCCACGTTACCTGGAATGAACATGGCATCGCCGGCCTTGACCGGATAGTTCACGCCATCACAGACCAGGGTCCCCGAACCCTTGATGATGAACACTTCGTGCTCCCAGGGATGGATATGGTGGCTGCTGGTCTCACCCGGCTGAATGTGGGAATAGCTCAGCGTCGTGGTAGGTGGGTTGTCGTCCAGATTTATCAAGCGAGCTGCCCCGCCCGGAGTGAAGTGGTCGCGATAGTTCCTGATGATTGGTTCCATTGGTGCCTCCATGAGTTCTGTTGTCGGTTCAAATGGCTCTATGGTTGTCCGTGTATTGGCATACGAGCGCAAAACACGATTAATTTCCTGGGTCCCTTCAAGTTAGGCCAACTTCAGATCAATAAGCTGGACTTGGGCGCCCGCAGGGCTAATGGTAAACTTCGGAACTCTCCATTACAAGAAGAGGAAACTTCTTTCCCTTCTTGCCTCCCGTTAAAGACAATCAACAGTTATGCTGGGGCACCCTGAAAACACCTTTAGTCGCTTAAGGTTTCTGTTGACGCTCCCAAGGGGCTATGCTAGTATCCCGAAAAGGCCGAGAACCCTGTTACCCCCTTCCCTTTGGTGAATTACAGGGTAGCCCCGCAGGATACAGGATCAGGATGAACTTTCGCCAACGGCTTAACCGAGTATCTCCGGAAAGGGAGACGGTACTGACCATCGGCGTATTTGATGGAGTTCATCTGGGCCACTCCCATTTGCTTCAGCGCCTGATCTCGCGGGCCCGTCCGGAGTATCAACCGGCCGTGCTCACCTTCTCCAATCACCCTGTCACCGTGCTTCAGCCCGGGCGCGAGGTATCGTTCCTCAGCACGCCGGAGGAAAAGCAACGACTGCTCCTGAGCGAAGGGATAGACCAGGTAGTTTCGTTGGAGTTCACCCAGGAACTGGCCCAGTTGTCGGCCAGGGAGTTCGTCGGCCTGCTGGTAGACAACCTGAAGATGAAGGGACTGGTAATTGGGCCCGACTTTGCCCTTGGCAGGAATCGCGAGGGCAACGCCGAACGACTGGCAGAACTCGGCCGAGAGCTTGGATTCTTTGTGGATGTTCTTGAGCCTCTGCTGTTGGAAGAGACGCTGGTAAAGAGCCGCGTTATCAGACAGAAGATCTCCGAAGGTGACGTCGCAACCACGGGCCGCCTGTTGGGCCGGGAATTTTCCCTGACTGGCAAAGTCGTAACTGGCGACCGCCGGGGCAGAGAACTGGGTTTCCCGACCGCCAACGTCGACGTAAGCAAGAATATGGCCCAGCCCGGCGATGGTATTTATGCTACTTGGGCAGTGGTTGACGGCGTTCGCAGACCTTCGGCTACCAGCATCGGCGTCCGGCCGACTTTCGGTCTGACCCAGCGCCTGGTGGAAGTGTATATCCTGGACTTCGAGGGAGACCTGTATGGTCAAGAATTAGAGGTACAGTTCGTGGATAAACTTCGAGACCAGGAAGCGTTTTCTAACCTGGAAGCCCTCGTAGAACAGATTAACCGAGATGTGGCCAATACCCGCTTGGCTTTGGCCACTACCGGAGGCGAAAATGACCCTTAGCCCCGACGAGCTTTGGCGCATTACGCAGCGAGGCGTCAGCAACATTATCGTTCGCGAAGAGTTCGTCAAACTGTTGCAGGAGGGAAAGCCCCTGCGGCTGAAGATGGGCTTCGACCCCAGTCGCCCGGACATTCATCTCGGCCACGTCGTAGGGCTGCGAAAACTGCGCCAACTTCAGGACTTGGGGCACCAGTTGATTCTGATTGTAGGAGACTGGACTGCCCAGATCGGGGACCCCAGCGGCCGCTCTGCCACCCGGCCCATGCTCACCCACGAAGAGGTTATGGAAAACGCCCAGTCCTACCTCCGACAATTCTTCAAAGTAGTTGATCGGGATCGGGCACAGGTTGTTTACCAAAGTGAGTGGTTCGGCAAGTTTTCCCTGGCCGATGTCATTGGATTGACTGGTCGATTCACTGTAGCCCAGTTCCTGGAACGCGACGACTTTGCAAAGCGCTTTGCGGAACACCGCCCAATTGCTATCACCGAATTGCTCTATCCTCTGCTACAGGCCTACGATTCGGTGGCAATCCAGTCGGATGTGGAGTTTGGGGGCACCGATCAGATGTTCAATCTGCTGGTCGGACGGGAACTTCAGGAGATGATGGGGCAGCGTGCCCAGCAGTGCTTCCTCATGCCCATTTTAGTAGGAACCGACGGCGTCCAGAAAATGAGCAAGAGCCTTGACAACTACGTGGGGGTGGAAGAGGCACCCGACGACATGTTTGGCAAGATTATGTCCCTTCCCGACGAGTTCATCGTTTCCTACTTTGAATACTTGACCGACGCCCCCGAAACCGAACTGGAAGATATGTCCCGCAGTTGAGGGACAAACGGTCAACCCGATGGATTTGAAAAAGCGGCTGGCCGAAGAGATTACAGAGGTTTTTCACGACCAGCAGGCTGCCGCAGCCGCGCGGGACCGCTTCGAACGGGTCGTCCAACAACGTTCACTTCCCGACGATATGCCAGTGGTATCCCTGTCAACCGTGTCTGGCCCCCGGTGGAGCAACGCGCTGGTGTCGGCCGGCCTCGTGTCCAGTGTCAGCGATGGCAAGCGGATGATTAACCAGGGCGCCGTCGAATTGTTCCCCCCCTCGGGCCAATCCCTAAAGATTACGGAAGACGGTCGGTTCGAAGCACCGGAACCCGGTACGGCCGTTAAGGTAGGCCGACGCCGGTTCGCTTCATTCCAGGAATAACTCCAACCGGTCCCGCTCCAAAAATCCGGTTCCTGAGGCATTCCCCAGAATTTTCCCTCTCAAAGAGTTCCATCAAAAGAAGTTCTTGTTGACCCAATTTAGGGACAATTACTTCAAGGTTCACATATGTTCGTCTTGCGATAGAAGCTACGCGGTTCAAGCCTATGTAAACAGACCACCATAGGCTATCTAATCCTCGTGCATGCAACATTAGCATTCGCGTAGTGTCCCATTCACAATATTCTAGATTCACATTCCGTGAAATAGAATCCGACCGATTTACCTCCGTTGCTGAGCCTCATGTTCCGGTATACTTAGAGTCATTCTGAAGTAAACTGCCGGAGGCGGCGCGTGTTCTCCACTGAAGAACTGGAACAACTACGGCAAAGGGGTCAGCTTTGGCGCGAGAAAAACTCGGCCAGGCAGGAGCGCAAGTCTTCTTTCAAGACCCTTTCGCAAATCCCCGTTAAGACTGTATACACTCCCGAAAACCTGGAAACAACCGACTACCTTGAAGACGTCGGACTGCCTGGGGAGTTTCCCTACCTAAGGGGTGTCCACGCCGGGGGCTACCGGGACCGCCTGTGGACCATGCGGATGTTTGCCGGTTTCGGCTTACCCCAGGAAACCAACCAGCGGTTCAGGTTTTTACTGGACAACGGCCAAACCGGCCTCAGCGTGGCCTTCGATATGCCCACCCTTTACGGCTATGACACCGACGACCCCAGGGCCGCCGGCGAATTCGGCAAATGCGGGGTGGCCGTTTCTTCCCTGGCTGATATGGAAGCCCTGTTCGACGGAATACCGCTGGGTCAGGTAACCACCTCAATGACTATAAACAGCCCCGCGGCCATAATTTGGGCCATGTACATAGCGGTGGCTGAAAAACAGGGAGTACCCCTGGAACAGATCGGCGGGACTCTGCAGAACGACATTCTGAAGGAGTACCTGGCCCAGAACGAGTACATTTTCCCGCCTGAACCGTCCCTGCGCCTTGTGGTGGATACCGTGGAATTCGCCACCCGGTACATGCCTCGCTGGAATCCTATCAGCATCAGCGGCTACCATATCAGGGAGGCAGGGTCCAATGCGGTGCAGGAATTAGCTTTCACCCTCGCAGACGGTTTTGAATACGTTCGTCGTTGCGTGGACCGCGGCATAGCTGTTGATGACTTCGCTCCCCGGTTAAGTTTCTTCTTTAACGCTCACAACGATTTCTTCGAGGAAGTGGCCAAGTACCGGGCGGCTCGCAGGATTTGGGCCCGAGAAATGCGCGATACCTTTGGCGCTCAGAATCCCCGTTCTTGCTGGCTGCGGTTCCACGCCCAGACCTCGGGCGCTTCTCTAACTGCTCAGCAGCCCGAGAACAACGTGGTGCGGGTTGGGCTCCAGGCCCTGGCAGCAGTGATGGGTGGCTGTCAGTCCTTGCATACCAACGGAAAAGACGAAGCTTGGGCCCTGCCGTCCGAGCAGGCCGCCCTCCAAGCGCTGCGCACTCAGCAGATAATAGCCTACGAAACGGGCGTTACCGACACGGTTGACCCCCTGGGCGGGAGCTATTATCTGGAGTCGCTGACCAACGAAGTAGAGCAGGGCGCCTATAATTACTTCCGTAGAATTGAAGACGTTGGCGGTGTGGTTCCAGCCCTGGAGTCCGGCTTCTTCCAAAGGGAAATTGCCGACGCCGCCTACATTTACCAGCGGGAGGAAGACCGGAAAGAGCGCATTACTGTGGGTGTTAACGACTTTATCACCGACGAAGAAATGTCTATCCCCCTGCTGAGGGTAGACCGGGAAGGAGAGTCCCGTCAGATCGAAAACCTCAATAATGTCAGACGCACCCGGGACAACCGGGAAGTTGCCAGAAGACTAAAGGAATTGGAGGCGGCTGCCAGAGGCGAGGAAAATCTTATGCCGCCACTGCTGGACGCGGTCAAGGCCTATGCGACCCTCGGGGAAATGATGGGTGTATTCAGGGAAGTCTTTGGAGAATACCAGCCAGGATGGGGTTTCTAGCCACTGTTCTAAATAGCGAAGTTGCGCCCAAAGCAGGTTAATTACCTGATCAGGGAACCCAACGACGCTCCGATAATAAGACAAGGGCGGGTTAAACCCCGCCCCTGTTTCGTCATCCGGACTAAATTCGTGGAATGAACCAGGCTACGCCCGGTCCTCTTCCCGTACCCGCTTGGCTTCTTCGATGACTCGCTGTTCCATGTTTGGCGGAACCGGGTCGTAATGGTCAAACTCAAGCTGGTAGCTGCCCCGCCCCTGTGTCAGTGAACGCATATCCTGGGCATAGCGCTGCACCTCGGACAACGGCACCTCTGCCTCAACAACCGTGTATTTGTCGCCAGGGGTCATCCCCAGGATGCGTCCGCGTTTGCCGTTGAGGTCACTCATTACGTCGCCGGTATAGGGTATCAGGCACGTTTACCGTCAGCTTAACGATCGGCTCCAGAAGTATGGGACTGGCATCGGCCATTCCCTTCTTAAAGGCCTGTGTGCCGGCGATCTCAAAGGACATGCCCGAAGAGTCCACATCGTGATAGCTGCCGTCGTAAATGACGGTCTTCAGATCCACCACCGGGAATCCTGCCAGGATGCCTTCTTCCATAGACTTGACGACGCCTTTCTCCACCGCGGGAATGTATTCCCGCGGCACCCGGCCGCCCACGACTTCGGAACCAAACACAAAACCGTTGTCCCTATCCATTGGCTCCAACCGCAACAGGACGTGCCCGTACTGCCCGTGCCCTCCCGATTGCTTCTTGTGGCGGTATTCAGCGTTGGTCACCCGAGAAATGGTCTCGCGATATGCGACCTTTGGCATCCGCAATACCAGGTCCGCTCCAAACTTGCGCTTGATTCGGTCAATGGCAACTTCAATCTGCGCGTCGCCTAGGCCGGTAAGCAAGCTGTCGCCGGTATCAACGTCCCGGGAATAGTGCAGGCTGGGGTCTTCCTCCACAATGCGAGCCAGCGAAGTGGACATCTTGTCCAGATCCGCCTTCGTGGCTGGAGCAACTGCCACACTATAGTATCCCTTGGGAAACTCGATCTGTGAGAATGTAACCTGATTATCCCTGACACAAAGCGTGTCTCCGGTAACCGTGGAGGCCAGCTTGCCGATTGCGCCGATATCCCCGGCCGCTACTTCCGAAATGTTTTCCTGAGATTTGCCGCGGGGGAGATAGAGTTGCCCGATACGTTCCGCCTGGTTCCGGTTGGCGTTCCACACCTCTGAGTTGCTCTTAATGGTGCCCCGGTACACTCGGAACAGGGAAAGCTTTCCCACAAATGGGTCGGCAGTCGTCTTGAAAACGAAGGCAGCGAGCGGGCCCGACGAGTCCACGTCAAAATCTACTGCATCACCACTCGCGTTGGACACCTCAGGCTTTATGCCTTCTATTGGAGACGGCAGGAACTCGCTTACGAAATCGAGGAACTCTTCCACGCCAATATTCTGGGTGGCTGAACTCACCAGAACGGGAACAAGGTCTCCGGACAATATACCGGCCTTGGCCCCGTTTATGATTTCCTCGTCGGTTAGTTCCTCGCCCTCAAGGAATTTGTCGGCCAATTCCTCGTCGGCTTCTGCCACTGCCTCTATCAGGCGCTCCCTGGCCAATTCAAGCTCGTCGGCCACTTCGGCAGGAACGTCGGCCGGGGGGTTCAACACACTGACCAGACCCTTGAAGTCCTGGGCATCGCCCAGAGGCAACTGGAACGGAACGCACTTGTTGCCGAATGAACCTTGAATGTCAGCAACGGTCCTGGCGAAACTGGCGTTCTCTCGGTCCATTTTGTTGATCAACAGAACACGAGGCAATCCCAAGTCCTCGCACAGGTTCCACGACCGCTCCGTTCCTACGTCCACTCCGGATGGAGCAGGCAGCAGGATAGCAGCGCTTTCTACCACCTTCAAAGCGCTGACAACTTCCCCAAAGAAGTCGTCATATCCAGGAGTATCCAGGAAGTTGGCCTTGTAGCGGTCCCAGGTGCAGGAAATAAGGGTGGTCTGAATGCTGCCCCCGCGCTTAACCTCTTCGGGTTCGTAATCAGAGACGGTGTTGCCATCTTCGACCCGACCAATGCGAGTAACCGCCTTGGTATTGAACAATAGAGTTTCGCACAACGATGTCTTGCCGGCGCCGCTGTGAGACAGCAACGCCACGTTCCTCAAATTGACGGCATCTATATTGGGCATAGACTTTTACTCCCCCTCAAAAAAGAACTACAGTCCGTTTCGTCGATTTTATATAACAATAGCTACTTTTCGCAAGTTTGGCGTAAATTACCCTCGGCTATAGCAAATTGACATGGTAGCTTCGCATTCTATAGTATCCCCCCATGGCCATCGGCCAAATAACAATTCAGGACAATTCAAATGCCTCAAAAAGAAATCATTACCCACCCGCAGATCGCTCAGGGAAGCAATCCTCTTTCCCAGGCGACTCGCTTCGGAAACCTGGTCTACGTGCAAGGGTGCACTGGCCGCCATCCCACAACGGGGGTAAATGGCTCGGATATACGTGAGCAGACCCGGTTTGCGCTGGAAAGAATCAAGATGATCCTTGAAGAGGCAGGCTCTTCACTGGATAACGTGCTCTCCAACACTTGCTACGTGACCACCAGAGACGATCTGCCCGGGTTTAACGAGACCTACGCCGAGTTCTTCCCCAAAGATTACCCCGCCCGGACCACTATCATCGTACAGTTTGGGCAACCCGACAATCTGGTGGAAATTACCACCACCGCATGTATACCCAGCTAGAGTCTAAACTCTATGGCGAATACGTTATGACTCTTCGTTGCTGCCAATCTCAATTCAGTTTCTTGTAGACGATATGGGAACGATTGGAGGTATGGGGACGAATCATCGGCGCCCAGTCGCCGGTATCTGAGGCAGCAACCCACACGTCGGTGAAAGGTACGTCTGGAGAGTCAATTTCGTAGACTGCGGCATACTTGGCAGTGCCCTCCACGTCGGTGGATTCCAGTTTGTACCGGGTGCAGCTATGAACACCCGGCACCTTGACGATGTTCGGCACATGCTCGGTATCGTAAATACGATTGAAGTCCGACTCCAACTCTACAGGTATATCCATTTGCACGAGGTACACGTAGTCAGCCATGGGGAGGAACCTCCATACTCACCGGGTTAACCAGAGTATACCGGCCCTTGACCAACTTAGATAGGCAGCGTTAGAATTGGAACTCAGCGACCGGTAGTGAGCCGCTCCTTCAGCGGCTTCTCGGTCGCTCCTTTATTGAACCGCACGATTGGAGACAGCCATAAAAAACGTAGTGAGCTAGTAGGTTAAGTCCGACTCCACACCATCAGGGAGTTCAACTTCCAGCGCCTGCAGGCTGTGAGCCAGGCCATGGTAGTAGGCAACTATGATGAGCACGTCAATTATGCCAGCGTCGCCAACCTGGGAGCGGAGACCTTCGAAGGTGTCATCCGAAATCCGATGCTGGCGCAGCAACTCCAGGACAAACTGGACCACGGCGGCGTCACTGGGTTCCAGCCCCACAGGCGCCCTGAATTCCCGTATCGCGGCGATAACGTCGTCGCCCAGATTCGCTTCTTTAGCGCCCCGTTGATTGACGGTCCAGACATAATGGCCGCCGGCTTGGCGCGCGGCGGTCAAGATGGCCAAAGCCTTGACTCTCGGATTCAGGTCTGTCTCAAACCTGACGTAGCCACCCAGACCGGCAAATGCGCCGGCCGCCTGGGCGTTGTTCAGCAGGGCAGCATAGTTCCTTTGCACCCCGCCACGGCTGCTCGTAATATCATCCCATACCGCTTGCCCGGCGGCATCCATGTTTTCTCTAGTGGCAAAAGGGACTCGGGCCATTGGTCTCCTCCTTGTAGCTCTTATTCTTGCTTTGAAGACAGTTAATTGGAACGCGCTCGTAATGTAGGCTTTCAACTGCCAGTAGAATCTGTCTGATGCCACACACCCTCTTCCCGCAAATGTATCAAGGGCCCTGATTAGCTCAGACTGGCATCTTATCTGAATAACGGCATCCTCAATTATCTTGAGGATGCCGTATTGCTGCTCGGTACTCTCGAGGCGAAGTGACTGATTTTAATCGGCGGCCTGCTCCAGCTTCTCCCCGTTCTTTTCCCAAAGGGCTTCCAGGATAGCGCCGGGAGACATGGGCAACTTCTCCATGCGCACCCCGATGGCATCATGAATAGCGTTGGCAATGGCAGCCATGGGAGGGACTATCGGCACCTCGCCCACGCCCGCGTACACCATATGGGTGGCCAGGGTTGGCTACTTCAACAATGACCGTGTCGATCATCGGCAGATCCAGGCTGATGGGCATGCGATAGTCAAGGAAGCTGGAATTTACCATCTGCCCGTTATCGCTGAAGTAGTACTCTTCATTCAGGGCCCAGCCAATTCCCTGGACCACGCCTCCCTGCATCTGGCCTTCCACATAACTGGGGTGAATGGCCTTGCCGGCATCTTGAACGGTGGTGTAGCGGAGGATGTCCACCTTACCGGTCTCGGGATCGACCTCAACGTCCACAATGTGGGTGGAGAAAGCGCCGCCCGCGCCCCGTGGGTCAACACTGACCTGGCTGGAAATCGGTCCGCCGGACCCGTTCAACTGGGCAGCCAGTTCTTTAAAATTCATCTTCAGGTCAGAGTCAGATTTGTGCTGGAAGACGCCAGCCTCCAAATCCACATCCTCGGCGGATACCTCCCAGATGGTTGCGGCCCGCTCAATCATCTGTCGCTTAATGTCTTGAGCGCATTCATAAGCCGCCCAGCCACTGGCGAAGGTAGTCCGGCTGCCACCGGTCAGGAAGGTGTAACCCACTGAATCGGTGTCAGCCACGCTGGGACGCACATCCTCCGCCGGAATACCCAGAACTTCCGCTGCCTGCATGGCAATTGAAGCACGGGTCCCGCCGATGTCAGTTGAACCTTCTACCAGGCTTATGGTCCCGTCAGCTACGACTCCGATGCTGCAGCTTGACTGCATTCCGATGTTAAACCAAAATCCGGAGGCTATTCCGCGACCTTGGTTGGCGCCGGTCAGCGGCGTATTGTAATGCTCGGTGGATTTGGCGGCTTCGACAACTTCTATGTTGCCAATGACCGGAAACTCAGGCCCGTCAACTCTCCGGGTACCTTCTTTGGAAGCGTTGCGCAGGCGAAACTCGATAGGATCCATCCCAATTTCACGGGCTATTTCATCCATTACTTGTTCTCCACCAAAGGCGCCAATTGGGGCGCCGGGCGCTCGGTAGGGAGCCACTTTCGGTTTGTTGACCACCACGTCATACCCTTCCGCACGGACGTTCTCAATGTCGTAAGGTGCAAACATGCACTGGGCGCCCATGGTTACCGGGGAACCGGGGAAGGCGCCGGCTTCCAAAGCCAATGAGGAGTCGGCGGCCGTGATCTTGCCGTCCCGAGTGGCGCCAACCTTGACCCAGACCGTTGAACCGGAAGTAGGTCCCGTGCTTTCAAATACATCGGTGCGGGACATGAGCAACTTTACAGGTTGGCCGGTTTTCCTCGAAAGGATTGCAGCCATGGGTTCCAGGTAAACTGGAATCTTCCCGCCGAAACCGCCACCAATCTCCATTGGGACTACCTTTACCTGCGAAACGGGCAGGTCAAGTATCTGGGCCAGGGAGTCCCGCACCGCAAAAGCACCTTGGGTGCTGGTCCAAACGGTTAGCTTGCCGTCGGCATTCCAAAGAGCGGCTGCGTTCTGCGGCTCAATGTAACCCTGATGCACCGTGCTGGTCTGGAAAGCTCTCTCAACGACAACATCGGCTTCGGCAAAGCCCTTTTCCAGGTCTCCCATCTCGTACCGGAAATGCGATGCAATATTACTGCGCTTGTCAGTCCGTTCACCAAGTTCAGTAGTGGTCAGGTCTTCAATCACCAAAGGCGCGTCGTCCTTCATAGCCTGGGTAACATTGATTACAGGGGAAAGGACTTCGTACTCTACCTCAATCAGACCAATGGCGATTTCAGCCACATGGGGATTCACGGCGGCCACGGCGGCCACGGCATGGCCCCGGTACAACGCCTTGTCCTGGGCCAGGATGTTCTCACTGGAGAAGCGCATTCCACGGCTGGGATTCTCCATACTGGCTAAAGGCAGGTCTTTCCCAGTAATAACCGCTTTTACGCCGGGATAAGCCTCGGCCTTGCTAGTATCGATGGACTTGATGCGTGCGTGGGCGTGGGGACTGCGCAGGACCTTGCCCTGAAGCAGTCCGGCCATCTGGAAATCGCCGCCGTACTTTGCCCGTCCGGTAACCTTATCGGTACCGTCATGGCGGACAGGGCGAGTCCCTACTACGCTGTATTCGGTATTTGACAGAACAACATTGGACATAGCCAACCCTCTCAATCGCGATGTTTAGAAGCTCGAACTTAACGGGGCCATTGTACCATACGGGGTGCCACCCAATGCGCCAAGTCAACCCCGTGCCAACCCAAGATTCTTACCGATCATATTTAAAATATTTTGGAGACTACTCTCTGTTTATGTCTTCGATGCAATTGTCACAGAAAACGCTTTCTGGGTTCGCGTCTTCTATCAGTCTAGTTATCGACCCGCAACGCACACAATGGACAATATCGTCGCCAGAGTCGCCACAATAGGAGCACATATAGAAGGTTCTGCTTCCTGACTGACTTTCCAAATGTGTGACGAGGCCTCCCCAGCACTCAGGGCAATTTGGCAGATCCAACCTTGGGTCGGAAGGATCTGACGAAGGTCGCTCCAAGTTATTGTGTTCTGCTAATCCCTCAGGGTCAGGAACAACACTGCAGAAGCGACACTTGTTGTCGTCAACTCTCACGTACATGCGCGGACTGCTCGGTCGACACAGGAACGCACGACCACGTCGTCAATACCATATAAAGAACCCTATCAATTCTGCCGCAATAGCACTATTTCTCTCGTCCACAAAGTCCTGGAAACCATTCAACAACCTATGTATTTCTTGCAATTGTGTAGCATCAACAACTAAACCTTCTTGTTGGCAGAATTCGATGCTGAAATTCATACACTTCGCTACTAGGGACCTAACCGCCGCGGAGTCTACAACTGCAGAATAATGCGTAAATCGATTCCTCAGTTTCCTCAACGCATCCAAATTCCTTTTGTCTGCCTCCCCAATGGCCACTTTCGCCTTTTTCTTCTAATCTGTCGCACGTCTGTTTAAAGTTAGTAGAAATGAAATCACCCTTTTGCAAACTTGCTCGGTCAGCTTTTTGGGGATCAGCAAACAACAATCTCCAATCCTCTCGATCTAGTCTTGCCTTTAGCAACAACTCCATTCCATTAGCAAGGTCCAAAATTGCGTACTTCCAACCCCTAGGATTGTCTCGCTCCGCTAATTCGGCCGCACTGACCAAATAATCCAAGCCATTTTCTAAAAGCGAGAGAATCCAGGATCCACCCTCGGCGATATATTCGCTCTCTCTCATTTCACTCCCTAAACCAAAACAGCCCCCGGCTTTCACCAAGGGCTGCATTTATGGACTATTCAGTTTTGGTAGCGGGGGTAGGATTCGAACCTACGACCTTCGGGTTATGAGCCCGACGAGCTGCCACTGCTCCACCCCGCGATGGTGTAAGAGAACACTGACCTGAGTGATTGCCTGGATCCTGCCACATTCAAAGATGGTTTGAAGTTCTTTGCGTGGGTCAAGCCTCTCGACTGGTTAGTACCGGTTTGCTGAAGTTGTTACCAACCTTACACATCCGGCCTATCAAGCAGATAGTCTCTCTGCAGTCTTACCCCCTAACTCAATAGGGGAGGGAGGCCTCATCTTGGGGGTAGCTTCGCGCTTAGATGCCTTCAGCGCTTATCAATACCAGACATGGCTACCCGGCGCTGCTCCTGGCGGAACAACCGGAACACCATAGGTCTGTCCCTTCCGGTCCTCTCGTACTAGGAAGAGGTTCCCTCAAGCCTCCTGCGCCCGCGGCGGATAGAGACCGAACTGTCTCACGACGTTCTGAACCCAACTCACGTACCCCTTTAACCGGCGAACAGCCGGACCCTTGGGACCGCCTTCAGCCCCAGGATGGGACGAGCCGACATCGAGGTGCCAAACCTCGCCGTCGATGTGAACTCTTGGGCGAGATAAGCCTGTTATCCCCGGGGTAGCTTTTATCCGATAAGCCACGGCCCTTCCACACGGTGCCGTAGGATCACTTTGCCCGACTTTCGTCCCTGCTCGACTTGTAGGTCTCGCAGTCAAGCCCCCTTATGCCAATGCGTTCTATGGACGATTTCCATCCGTCCTGAGGGGACCTTTGGGCGCCTCCGTTACATTTTGGGAGGCAACCGCCCCAGTTAAACTGCCCACCAGGCACTGTCCCCCAGTTTTGCTGAGGTTAGAACCAAAAACAGCCAAGGGTGGTATTTCAACGACGGCTCCACCCCGACTGGCGTCGGGGCTTCATAGCCTCCCACCTATCCTACACATGACAGCTCCCAGCCCAATACCAGGCTACAGTAAAGCTCCACGGGGTCTTTTTGTCCTGCCGCAGGTCGCCCGCGTCTTCACGGGCACCGTAATTTCACCGAGCCCTCCGTCGAGACAATGGCCAAGTCGTTCAACCATTCATGCGGGTCGGAACTTACCCGACAAGGGACTTCGCTACCTTAGGCATTTTGTTACTCCCCCGACTCCTGCTTCCAGGACTGGGGTGGGTCGGTCATTTCTGCCGGCCTCTGCATGTCGCCATGCAGATCGGACCATATCTTCCCGCACGTTCCGTCAGCGGGTCCGGCGTATGGTCTCTGAGGATTCCTGGGACATTCGGACATGATCCGGTCGACGAAAGCCCGTCCGCTTGCCAGCCTGTACGCAGAGTTTGATCGCTGCGTCGAACCAACGAAGGTTTCGCAACGACCCCGCGTCCCGTCTTTCCTGCTGATGACTCCGCACCGGTCGCATTGTCACCAACCCCTTATGATGTCGGGGCGGGTAGTGCCGGATACTCGGACTTCCCAGCATATAGCCAGATTTTACAACGGCCTTAAGCCACATCCGTTCCGGTTGAGCCGGCCAACCGGGTGATGCTCGGTTGACCGTTAGAGTTACGGCCGCCGTTCACCGGGGCTTCAGTTCGCAGCTTGCACCGCTCCCCTTAACCTTCCGGCACTGGGCAGGCGTCAGCCTGTATACGTAGGGTTTCCCCTTAGCACAGACCTGTGTTTTTGTTAAACAGTCGCCCGGCCTTCTTCTCTGCGCCCCCAGAAGCGCTCCACCAGCTAGTGGCTACACCCCCAGGGGGCCCTTTCTCCCAAAGTTACAGGGCTCTTTTGTCTAGTTCCTTAACGGAGGTTAGCTCGAACGCCTTAGGACTTTTATCCTAGCCCACCAGTGGCGGTTTGCGGTACGGTCGCCACAGTTCCATAACCACGAAGCTTTTCTCGTCGGTATGGGGTCAACAGGAGTTTCGTAGCCGTAGGCTACGACTTCCTTCAACCCTCAGCTTGGCGCCGGGGTGGATTTGCCTGCCCCGGCTCGCCTACAGACAAGGACACACCATGTCCAATGGGCTGCCTGCCTACCCTCCCGCATCCCTCCTTGGTTTCAAAAGCGAAAAAATGGCGGTGCAGGAATATAACCTGCTGTCCATCGCCTTCGGGCTCTTGCCTACGGCTTAGGACCGACTAACCCTACGCCGATAAACGTTGCGTAGGAAACCTTGGGCTTTCGGCGTCAGGATTCTCACCCTATTTACGCTACTCATTCCGGGATTCTCACTTCCCCGCGCTCCAGCAAGCCTCACGACTCACCTTCGTCGCCCGAGGAACGCTCCCCTACCACGCCCAGGCGAGTACAAGAGACCTTCAGCTCCACCGGTCCACTGACCTTGCGAGCGATCGACCGATGAAGGCTGGAATAGAGGCTGCACTTGCACCTGAACATCCACGGCTTCGGCGCAGACTTAGCCCCGTTACATTTTCGGCGCGACCCCTCGACCAGTGAGCTATACGCACTCTTTAAAGGATGGCTGCTTCTAAGCCAACCTCCTGGTTGTCTGGGGACCCACCTCCTTTCCCACTTAGTCTGCGCTTGGGGGCCTTAGCCGGTGGTCTGGGCTGTTTCCCTTTCGACTACACGCACTTATCTGTGGCAGTCTCACTCCCGGGTATCGGCTAAACGGCATTGGTGGTTTGATTGGGTTGGTAAGCTCACGCCCCCCTAGCCCATTCAGTGCCCTACCTCCGTCCTCCGTGACCCGAGCTGCACCTATGCATTTCGGGGAGAACCAGCTATATCCGAGTTCGATTGGCATTACACCTCTACCCACAGCTCATCCCAAGCTTTTGGTCACTAGCCACGAGTCGGTCCTTCAGTCGTCTTTAAAGCGAACCATTCAACCTGGCCATGGGTAGCTCACCGGTTTCGGGTCTACTACATGGAACTAAACGCCCTATTCAGACTCGCTTCGCTGCGGCTCCGGAACACAGTTCCTTAACCTCGCTCCTACAGTAAGTCCCCGGATCATTCTTCAATAGGCACGCCGCCATCGAACGAAATCGAGGCTACGACCTTCGTAGCTTACGGTTTCAGATCTATTTCACTCCCGCTAGGGGTTCTTTTCACCTTTCCCTCACGGTACTGGTACGCTATCGGTGACCAAGGGTATGTTAGCCTTGGAGGGTGGTCCCCCGATTCCCACAAGGTTTCCCGTGCCCCGTGGTACTCAGGTAAGCACCGGGAGTCCGTCTCTTTCGACTCTACGGGCTCACCCTCTATGGCGGCCTTCCCAGGTTCCTTCGACTAGAGACTGATTTGTAACTCCTCCGGACCTGATGAGGCGGTCCTAGGCGGTCCCTACAACCCCGGTGCGACATAGGCCTCATGCCGTTAGGTCGCACTGGTTTAGGCTGTTCCCGTTCGTTCGCACTACTAGGGGAATCTCGGTTGATTTATTTCCTCTGGTGGTACTAGATGTTCAGTTCACTTACCCCGATAAATCGGGTTGACGACTACAACACGGTCAAGGTTTCCCCATTCGGGTATCCCGGCTATGCCGCTAGACGGCTCACCGAGGCTTAAACGCAGCCTGCCCGCGCCCTTCATCGGCCCTTGGTCCCAAGGCATCCACCGTAAGCTCTTAATAACTTGACCCACGCAAGGACTTCAAACCTCGGACCTCGTGCCCCGATCGGCCGAGCCCGGAGTTTATGCGCCCGCACGCTTACGGTAACGTCGCGGACACACTGAAGTATTGCAGGATTTATTCAGGTCGCGTATTCTCTTTTAAGGTGCGGGCAAGAAAAAACGGTCACGGGCTCTCCCGAACCCGCGTGTTCAGGTATCCCTGTTGAGGGTGCTGCCATATGTCAGGTGTTCGTACCATCAATATGGATGCCTCACCTCTTGCAACAAGGATTGTATACACCACTTTAGCCCTAGTCAAGGGCAAACTGCCCCAATTCCCAGAATCCGACCGTCTACGGCCCATTGATTCGTTCACACGATCGTTAGCCAAGGGGAAATCCGGCTTTTCGGGGCATTTTCAGGTGAAGACGGTCGCCCTCAGAAACGTGGAAGGCAGGCTCCTGTCCCAGGAGCAATTGGCCGCCGTCCGCCATTGTCGTCTGCCTTACGAAAGCATGGCTGCCACGCTGTGTCGTCCCGAAGTACCGGTCGAGGGGCGAGGCCGAATAGATTGAGCTGGCCCCTGCCGCCGAGTGCGCCCGGTCCACCGCCTGCAGCGGAGGCAGTTACTGCGTGGTGTGCAGGCAAGACCATGCTGGCCCGGAGCTCCGGGGCAGTTCCTCGCCAGCCATGAACCTGACTTTCTCCCACGTACGGGCGGTGGTGTCATAGATATAGCTGGGCCGAGCCGGCCAGAGCTTCAACAACCGTTCCCAGGTCGGCCTGCTTGTTTGGGCGCCGGCCACGGCGCGGTTCCCCCCGTCAACTTTGCCCCCCGAAAAGCTCCACCAGAGAGATCCACCGCGCCGCGAGCGGCGCCAAGGACACCGCCGAGAGCATGGGGCATTGAGCCGGATAGGCATAGCGGCGATCGGGGAGCAGGGACGGTTCCACCAATGAGTGGCGCTTCACGTAGTTGTCGGCCACGAATACGCCTTGGCGTAGTCGGTCTGCCGTCCCCCCGCAGGCCGACGTGACCAGGTGTCGAGGAGGCGCAGTCGGACGCGGGCAGGTGGAAGGCGCGCCACTGGGCAACACACCTTTCTCGGTCTGATGATGGGGCCGTTATCATCGTGGAGCCAAGCCGCTGTGGGCAGCCATGTGGCGTGGTGGCAGCCGCTGCCGAAGGCCACTGCCCGGTGAGTCTCCAGCCGCCCTCAACACGCAGGCCCGCCCGGGGGCACCAGCGTCCCAGCAAACCTGGGCCTGGATCTGGCCGAGTTACGAGTCGACGAAGATCTCCCGGCGAACCTGGTCGGGGCACGATGCGCACCGTCCAGAAGAGGCGGTGGCGATGATCATGGTCACCCCAGCCCACCGAGGGCTGCCGTGGACAGTGTCTCTATGACCCTGGCGGCGGTGACGGGGTCCGTGCCAAGTCCGCGCTGTTTTCACACGCCCGGTCGATGCATTGAAGAAGCCTGCGGCCCGCCAGCTTGTCGTCCAGCCAGTCCGGACTCTTCGGGGCCTCGTCAATTGCGTCGGCGGCGCTGCGGATTTCTGGCAACATGCCTCGGCGCAACGGCCAGCAGGTCGCGGGAGGCAGCAGTATCGGGGCCGTTCCCTGGTCGTGCTCATTGCTGCCTCCTGCGGACGTGGTGAAAAAGGGGCTGGCGCTGCCTCTTTCGCGTTGTAGGGCGGGCAGCCAGAGGAGCCCCTTCGATTGATAGGGGTAGCTGCTCTACCGTCCCTTGAAGACCGCCGGGCGTTTTTCAAGGAAGCCTTGCACCGCCTCCTTGTGATCCTCGGTCGGTTGAAGTTACGCACGTTGGCGCCAGAGCTGAAGGATGGGTCGGTGCCGGTAATCAGCAGCACCCGGCATTCGGGGTCGTCTTCGAACCGGTCCGCTCGGCCCGGACCCTCCGAGGCCATCTCGGGGCCCAGGCATTGCGGGTGGGCGGATCGTGCATAGTCAGCACCAGAAACGCCGTCGAGGTTTTCCGTCTTGATGTATTCGTAGGCCATCTGCCATCTCTCCGTAGGTATTCGAGTGGTGATGCCGGAACCGTTTGCCCACGCCCCGCAAGGTGGCGCGACCGCGCGACAGCCCATATAATCGCCATCACAAAAGGGATGGTATCGGGCAACCCCACATTGCAGGTTAGCATACGGCCCAAGATTCAACAACAAGACCGCAGGCCCGCCGGTTTGGGCTGGCGAAGGCTAAAGGAGTGCCCCCATGCAGCAAGGAAGCATCACGAAATCTCACATCGCCCGCGTGAAGAGCAACCTTCCGACCCGGTTCAGGAGGGCCCCAACGTTATCTTTACTGGGCTATGGCCCGTCTTTACGGAGCTGGATGCGCTGGGCGTGATCACCACCGCAGCGGTGGGCTGGATCAGCCACCAGGCGGATCCTGGAGAGCATCCTAGAGAACTTCGGGATGATCGGGTACTTCGTGGTGCTGGGCGTCTGGCTGGCCTGCATATTCGGTCTCGCTTCAATGGCCAGCCCGCGTTCCTCCTGCGGTGGCGGCGAGTGGCCTATCCGTCTTCACCGCCATCACCGGGTGAATGATCTCTCAGTCATCTTCTGGGCCTACACCGGCATATAACGACGTCTGGCCTTTGCGCTGACCACAGGTGTGTTCGGGGTGATGAGCGCCATCGCTACCCACAAAAGCGCGACCTTTCGGTCCTCGGACGATGCTGATGATCGGCCTGTTCGGTGTGATCATTGCCGGGGTGGTCAACTGGTTCATCGGCTCCAGCATGCTGTCGTTGATCATCACGCTGTGGCGCTGCCATCTTCCTGGGCTTGACGGTTTATCAGACCAAGCAGGTCAAGGACTGCCTGGAGGCAGCGATGCGCGGCGACGAGCGGGGAGCGGCCCGCCACAGGTGGCGATCATGGGCCCGTGGGTCTGTATGTTACCTTCCTGAACATCTTCCTGATCCTGCTGCGAATCCTGGACATCTTCGCGGCGATTAGTCCCCTGCAGCAGCTTTGTTTCCCGATGGGATGGGCCCCGGATGTTTGTCCGGGGCCCTCTTGTTTCCCTCGGGTGAGCCTAGAGCTGACGGCAGCGGCCGTGTTTTTGGGCTTCTATTTGACCGCGATGGGGCTGCCAGGTGAGCCGGTGCCACCCTTGAACGGCACGCGAACGAAGATGTAGGCGAACTCGTACACCTCGTCGTCGGCAAGGGTGCCGAGGTTCAGGTTTTCGTGGATCAGTATGCCGTTCTCGGCGAGCAGATGCTTATGCACAGGGAAGGCGTCAGCGTCGTCAACACCGGGCACAACTTCCACGGGCCAGGTATCAGCGCCGACCAAGGTGATGTTCTGGCCGGAAAGCCACTTGCCGACCTCCAGGCCTATGCCCGGGGCGCCGGAGTTGTACCTGTCGTCGTCCACACCCCAAAGGTCTCCCCATCCGTAGTGGAACAGCACGACGTCGCCATCGGTGATGTCATCCTCAGACATACCCTGGGCTTCCAGGGCGCCATTGACGTCCTCCATGGTGACCACAGTGCCGGCGTCCAGCATTTCACCCTTGTAGCCGGCGATGTCGATCAGGATTCCCCTGGCAAAGATGGGCTTTATCTGCTCACACACCCAGTTGCTGCAGGCCGTAGCCCTCCCCATTATCTCGTCCTCGGTGAGCCCGTTGTAGAACCGCTCCTCTCCGTTGTGGATGTAACCGACGTGGCCGAGGCCGTCGAACTGGGTGCCGACCTGGCCAAGTTCGCCGACGATGAACTCATCGTTGTAGATGAGGCCAACCGGGGAAGGGCCCCTCCGTGGGAGCGCCGGGGATGGTAGCCGAGTGTCCTGGTCCCGAACAGAGGCATACCATGCCTGTATTGGCGGCCCAACTCGTAGATGTCTCCGGTCTCGATAAGATTTGCGGCCTCCAACACCTTTTCCGCAGTTATCCAGTTGGAGGACCCGGCCTGGTCATCGGCGCCCCAGCGGGAGGGCCAGAAGTCGGCAGCGGTTTCGGACTCAGTCATCGTCCCGCTGTCGCCGTTGTCCTGGGTATCCGTGGTACTGGTCTGTAACCGCTTTTCTCCGTCCCGTCATCGCGGTCTGCAGGCACTCATCAATGGAGTCGACCAGGCGGCCATCGGTGCACTGGATGTTGCCCTGCTGCGCCAGCAACACGGGCGTCAGCGCCAGTACGGCCACCAGCGCGACCAGCAGAGTGACGAATCGGAATCGGTCGCTGTTAAATGTCCAAACCCATCTCTCAAATCTTGATTTCACGCCAAGCGTATTTAATTGTACTATCGCAACATGTAGAAGTAATGCCTATTCCGTTTCTAACACTATATAACAGTCGAAAATCTGGGAACGGTGTTATTATTAAAATCGAAAGGATGACGCGATTACTAGATATTGGATCGACCGGCGGAATATGTCAATTGGAATTGCACGGCAACCCAGCAGGAGACACGGAAGTGGCCGCTACACCCAACAAAAAACAGGCAACAACTCTAAGGGTAGCCGGCACGATTGGTCGAGCTGGGGTTGTGAGGAGTTCATTCAGAGGAGCCTTGGTGGCCACCAGGTGCTGCTGACGACATCGCTCGGCTACGTTGGTTACCAAGATCGGGTGATCGTCGGACAAGCCTGGACACAGGCATTCGGTTCACGCAGACATTCATAAAATCAGGTTAGCTCGCGCCTTTTATGTGTCGTGCGCGAACCCCTACGAACAGTTTCACGTTGACGCGTTTTTTCGCAGGGTTAGGATAGTAGAAGTGCTTGCTTAAAATCCTGCCTGGTATCATTGGTACGAGGAGCCTACTTTGGGTCCATACCATAGCTCGGAAACGGCTTCATCAGATGCGCATACGAAGGTAAGTGTACGCACCTTTGTGACAGTACCGATCATAAGGGAACATCTCAGGTGCTCGTTCGCAAACTCGAGGCAAGGTTGGACGCCTCCCAATCACATTCCGTCCTACCCCGAACCCGGAATCGGGATCGAAAAAACTGCATTTTTGTTAGTGCGTACGGATTTCGCCGCTGACGGCATCGTAGGCTGTCAATCTCGGCGGCAAACACCCACGCAGGGGGATAGACACGCTTTCACTGGAGGCCAGAGGTCAAAACTCCATCAGGTTGCCACGATAATTAGAGACGGCACTCTTTGGATCCGCAAAAACCGGACGTTACCAATAGTTCAATGCCGGATCAGTAATATATATCTGCTTGGCCAAGTCCTGAGAAGTTTGTCATGTTTTTTATCTTCGGGCTACGAGATCCATACCACGACACTACTGTGTTTACCTGTAAGTGTCAACACATCAGGCCAACTGAGTTGTTGTCCGCTATCGATGTCATTTGTCCAGGTTGACCTGGCTGGGAAATATAATCGGCTTGGACAGATGTGTACTCTGCACTTCACCAGGTCTCATGTCGGAGGTTCCCTTAAACAGCCTGATTTGGTTCAGTGATAACTAGTCCAGAACTCATAAACATAAATTCTAAGGACCATTGAAAAACCTCACAGATCATCGGCCCTTCGTAACCATCCTCTATATCATCAAACCGGTCACTGGAATTCGTTATAACTCTAGTGAAAATGTCCAGCCGTCCGGTTGAACTTTTGGGGTTAGTCCGAGCACGAATGCCACTTGGCAATCTGAGGCTCTCCAATAGCGGAATCAAATAAGGCCGATTCCTCTCGAGGATTGCTCCATCGCGGATATCGAACTTTCCAATAGCGAGTTCGCGTAACTTGGTCTCCAGAGTTCCGGGCGAAGGTAGAAAACTACACTGCAAACTGTAGGCGATCTCGCCTAACCGCAAATCAAGGCTCGCTGGCTGAAAATTCTCTTCAGGAACCCTGTAATCACTCAAAATGATATTTTCCCACACCGCGCGTTTAAGCCACTTCGTGGGTAGGATTCCCTCATTCTCAACTTCGTAAATTGATTCAAACATTCCCTAATTTCTGCTACCCGGATTGAATGGGCGGTTTTCTCTCCAGTACTTATCAAAGCACTTCAAACTGCAAAGAGGCCATCATTTAGCCGACCAGTACCATATCCTTGAAGGATGACACTTGCGCAACTTGGGCAAACTCCTTCTGACCGACACGTTGCCAAATATGAAAAAATACGCTGTTGGGTCGACAGGTACTCCTCCTGTTGAAAAGGACGCTCTTCACTCATTTCCATCAATCGCTCAGACCGCGGGGAGGGGCCCGCCGACGGGTCGGCCAGAGATCCTCACGCCAGATACAGCAGGATCATATCCCAATGGATTTCACGGCTTGGGCCACCCCCAAAAGAGCACGAGGAATTCCGATTACGATCTGACTAATAGACAAGTTGGCGGGTGAGAAAACACCCGCCAGCTCGTCGCCTTGGTCCAGTACGCCCATGCACGCATCAAAGCAACTATCCCTAGAAGTCTGGCCGGAAAGCCATTGGCCGGGTTTTACGCTACGCCAAGCAGACGAATTCCAGTCTTATACCGCGTGGTAGTGCATATAATACATTGCAACACCCACTATTTCCTCGATAATCGACGTTAAGAAAACGACGGCTTGGGCAGAATCGGGGTTTCCGGCCAGGCTTCTAGGTGCCGATGGTTCCTGAGCAACAACGGCCACTTTGCGATAAGTGATTGCTACGATGGGGTTCAGGCCTTGGTGGCCACCAGGGTGCTGCGGACCAGCTCGGCTACGTTGGTGACCTCGGGGATGTCGGACCAGGCCTGGACGGCTCGGTTCACGTCGTCGTCGTTGAGGACGAGAGCGACGTTCTCCTCGAACTTGGCCCTGATGCTGTCGAAGCCCCACGGGTTCTTCTGGCTTCCGAGAATGTCTGCCCGTCCGGTGGTGTGCTCCAGGACGCGGCCGTCCTTGAGGGTGATCTTCACCTTCAGGCCGTCCTCGGAGTTGGTCAGCAGCTCCTCGGACTTGGCCATTACGCGGGTGCGGACCTTGTCCAT